CTGTTAGGCTCCCTGGCTGGGGACCTCGGGATAATCGTAACCGATGGTTAGAGACACTGATTGATATGGCTGGGTATCGTAAACGGTGGCGTTCGTGCACCTTCTCCATTTCTCTGCTTCATTAGCCAAAATGAACTTTTCAATTTTCTCTTTGATTCAGCCTTCCTATTTTCATCCTATTGTTCACCGAAATTGGCAGCCGAAATCGTCGCACGAAAATGCATGTTTAATGATTGTTTAAATTGAACTGCTTTCGTGCAATCGATTTCGATCATGGATTACTGCCCTTGGTCGGTCTATAGGGAACAGATTTATCCCACTGATCGGCAGGGATGAGGGGTGAGGTGGGAGCAAGGTTCTCCATCGGATGTCATCTATGATGAGGTTGCGGATGCTTGGAGAGAAAATAAATTGTGTTATGTGGTCCACCTAGGCAATTCGCTTCCAGTATGCCAACTCCTCCCCATTTCGGTTCACAGCAGAACCTGCTCTTTTATTGATTAGACATTTATTGAAAACAAGGCGGACGGGATCGCAGTTTTAACACCTTATTACATGTCGCCTGATTCGAAATGAAGATTCTTGTGATGTGAATTTTACATTGAGAATCCGTCTTAATGACCGAGTGACGTGCGAACCCAGAAGGCATGAGTGTCATGAAATACTACTATGAGCAACGAATAGTTAACAAAAAATAGGTATGGACTTCGAATCGTGAGGCAAATCGGGAATTGGATGTTTCCGGTAGTGCGAATTCAATGAGGCGGCTGGAGTATACAAGTATAACGATATGCCAATATAAAAACAGTGCGTTCTGCTGCGTAAGGAGGTGCCTTCAGTGACTGTTAAGGTGCTGCACTCAACGACTGCGAGTGCGTGCAGTTCAATCAAGGTGAGCGGTCAGAAAGGCTTTGGTGACAAACACATGTGCGNGTACGAGTTCAAAACGCCAATCAGATGAGGGCCGGGACCAATGAACGTGCTTGCGTAGACTCGCTGGGTCAGCTTGGGTGTGGCACGGTTGCTAAAAATGGGAAGCTGCACGAATCAAGAGGTACTGAAGAATGACTATGGAAAGGTACACGTGTGTTGAGGGGTATGGACAAGGCGAATCTGATTGGATAGAGAAATAGATTTAATACCCATCTCGTTCGGAAGCGGTCTCGCATCTTAAATTCGTCTGTCTAAGCTACATGAATATAGTTGAATTCCTCGTAATGTCTTAGTTAATTTCCTACCGAATGATCACTTTTAGTATCTTGTCTGATATAGCAAAACTTCTATATGCTTCTTCTTCTATCTGTACCTCTAACTGGGTGTTCTAGTTCATTTATACGCGGAAGACAACATACTGTGACTTCGACAGTTTTTTTCTTGCCAGAATTTTCGTCTCCGAAAAGACCGGTTTTGGAAAATTGATACAGCAATGAATTTTTTGCAAAACGCAACCTTTGCACAAGGTGTAGAGTTCTTTGTAAAGAACATCATATTGACTCAGTGAGAATATAACCCACTGTGAATGAATAAAATGCAGCTTTGGTTCAATTTAACTTCAAAGTCTCTAGTTGTCACACTAGTATTTTCCGTTTCCCATACCTTTTTCTTGCATGAGTGAAAAGTTAATAGCATATGAACGAACCTTTTAAAGTGATTTAATATTACTATTAATCAAAAACTATTATTCGTGAACTATTTTTTCCTCATCCACGCTTACAATACCTTTTTATTCTTTTTCGCGCAAGAAATGAGACAAACAACAAAATGAACAACTATAAGACCTCGGGTGAAAATAAAGAAATATTCATCACATATATCGTTTCGTTAGGTGCAATCAATAAAATCAATTGCATGATATATTACCAATTGAGTATGAACAACGACTACAGAATCAACTAATCCTTTCCTATGTTGGTATATTCGGTGCGATTAAGACCAGAGGCTCCTAGTAGCGAAAGGTGATGAAACCCGAAAAAGTGATTGCCCTAGTAACATGGATAAATATAATTCATTTTTCTGAAAATTTAAAGCTGAAACAATGGATTGAAGGAGACTGAAATACGATACACAGTGATCTGAATTTTCCGTTTTACAAATAATACTACTTGCGAGTAGTGTAAATAAACACTTGAATGAATTTCTTGATGGAGGAAAAATATATTTTTGTTTGTCGGACAACGGTTAAAAACAATCCCAGATTGGCGCTTATCTTTTTGCACATCTAACTTACTTTTATAATGTGAATAAAATAAACGGAAAAGACATGACACAGATTATTATGGAGGATAAAAACGAGGAGGAGTGGTTCGAGTAGTTCACTAATGAACTCGCACAACATGAGTTCAAATCCCGTCAGTACCGACAAAATCCACCTCTTTTTGGTGTCACAGAAACCTTTTCTTGAGCGTATGCGCTATTATTAGCTATAAATAGCTCCAAATAGAAAATAATAAAGGCATAACATGATAGTTGTAAGTAAACACAGCAGTTTTTGCAGTGACGTTAACCACGTCTGATGTGATCATGGCTGGTTTCACCATTCTCTTTATTTTAAAGAACGTAGTATACGAATCCCAAGGTCTACCCGAGAGTCCACTGTAGATTCAAGAATGACCAGCGTCTGGATAGGGTGGAAGAATAACTTTTCTAAAAAAAAAGTCAGTAGCGGGACCCGGCAAACTTACGTGAACATTCTCTTTCCATCGTTTCACAGCGTCCATTGCCAAAGTGGACTGACGTTCTTCCATGCGCCGACGTTTTCGGCATGCAATTTCAGCCATACTGATCGGCAATCCGGTGAGAATACCTGCAGCAACCATGATAAACACGCCGGCCATATTGGTCAGTCCCAGAGTTGCCGGACTGGATTCCGTACGTTCACAATTGTCTCCTTGTACGTGAATCCACCGAGTGTCCAAAGTTTCCATAATCCCACCTGTCGCGTATATGCACGGGGAGGAAGAACGAAAGAGAACAGACCACACCATGCAGTTAGACACAGGACGAATAATACGATACTACAGTCCGTTTGTGAACCCATAGTCACATCGTTTACCGATATATGTGAAATTCGATCATCATATTTTCATGTCATTTTGTTTGACCAAAGACCCACACTAATTAAAAAGCACGATCTCTAACTCGACACAAGTTCCGGCAAACGTGTCTTGACTTCTTGTTGCTATATAACTAATCTTAAGATCATTCTATCCGATCGTTTCATCAAATTATACCTGCGGCACATGGGTTGGCCTAACTATCAGCTATTAAAACTTAAATACCTGGGAGACATTCGTTCGCCTATTGTGGTAGGAAAATGAGTTTCTGGACGTGCCTATGTGGGCACTTCTTTTACACACCAAATTCACGAGAAAACACTTTGTGTCGATTACATCTACGGGGTTTCCATCCTCTTTTCGGTAAAGTGCGCACGTCTGCAAGAGAACGCAGGGTTCCAGTTTTGAATAGTGTAGGGTGGTGGACATTTACACAGGGTGATTGATTTAAATATGTGAAATGCTTTTTTCTTGGTTGGCCTTGTGCGATCATGATCAAATGGCGACAGTAACCCCACACAGAATGAATGCAATTTTCCACCGACTAGCAGTTTCACTCTTCAGTTCATATGATCACGTGCCCAATCCAGTTCGGTCTGTCGTACCCTCTGATCTCCGTGTGGATTTCCCTTCCCTGTGTGTGCGTGTTTGCTTGTTGATAAACCCGTCACTCTCTCAGCCAAACGGGATCTGAATGTAGGCACACAGCTGGTGAGATGATTACCATGAGTACCGATCTATCGGTTGGTCATTGGGCTTCTTCTTCTTACGCATCTGTTTGTTTTTAATTGTCTTTTGTTTGAGTTGATCTATGATAACCTTCATCAAGTGAGATTCCGATTATAACAGAGGCCAGTGCAAAAAATGCAAGAAAACACACGGAATTCTGATTGAATTACAACTGCTCTACGGAGCGAGTGCTAAGATAAGCGAGTCTTGTTGTTTGCAATATGATTTCAGAGCACGATTATATTGCATCGTGCACAGAAGAAAAGACAGTGGCGGGCACAGATGTAAGAATCTTGAGGTTGGTACGCATGCAGCTGATTTGAGGAGTCCAAGGCTTGCATTTCATTATTTTCTTACGTTTCAGTTTATTTATATTTCGGTGCATAAGTCACAAACGTCCGTATGAAAAGCACATTGTTGAGGAAAAAGAGAATACTCTTACTGTTCTGTACTATGTTGTATTATACAAGTTTCATAAGCACCTGGAGTTGGATTTGAATCAAAAAGGTTACACTGATAGTGCGCCAAAGTGAAAAATAAAATAAAACTAACAACCGAAAAACGGGAACACTTGCACACAGACACACACACACACACGGAAACATTTGCACATAGTCCGCCGACTGGTTTGTTTCTGTTCATTAGTAGACAGAATAAGTAATGGTTTGTGGGGTTTCTATGAGAGAATTGATTCTGTACAGATTTATTTTAGGCTAGAATTATACGAAATCTATTGCAAGTAATTGGGTAGTGTCCGACGTCAGAAAGGAGTGTGTGCGTGTGGATCTGAGAGAATTTCAACAATACACTGTTTACAAGCCCCTAATGCACAGATTACTAAATTCATCCACTTTGACTGAAATGATGCAGACAGGCCTGATCGTTGCCAACTAACAGCTGCGCAGTGTTTGAAGATTATTTAACTATCGAGAAAAATGCCCGGGAAAAAAGGTATAAAAAGATAGAAAAGACATTTTGGCCAACAGAACAAGAAACAGCTGGGAGGCACTGGACACCTGTTTCAGCCTGGTTGGGTCTCATCAGGAATGAATCCATTGATCCGGCTGGGGATCGAACCCTGGACCTCGCGGGTAGAACGCAAGCATACTCATATGGCCACTGGGAACTGAGCACACCGTTTCTCTCATACAACAAAATAGTCAGGTTGAGAGGGTTTCCAACCGAGTCATAACTCTGGAGATTAGCGCTAAGATGAGCGAGGCGTGATGCTCGCAACAAGCTCGCAATATAGTGCATATTCCAAATGTGAAACGGTTTAATGAGTTGCCCGGTGACCGAGTGGGTCCCGGGTTCGATCCCCAGTTGGGTATATATGTAAGTCAGGTTAAATTCCAAAGAAAACCGGTCGAAAAAGTCATATGTTGGGCGAGAATAACCAAAAGAAAAGAGCCGAAGCTGAGTGAGCCTCCGGCCCGAAATGATCGATCACTGTAATTCACCACGGATGGTACGACGTTTCTGATTGGTCAGACAGCGTAATCAACCGAGCGGTTCGACGACTCTGATTGGTCAATTGATATCGAACGTTTAGAACGCACCGGACGCAATAAAAAAGAACGAATGCTAACGCGGAAGGATGACACAAAAAGGAAGACACTTTTTTCTCCAATAAACTGTCCTGTGCCATTTGAATTGTGTTCTCTTCTTCGGCTCGGAAGTTGGTGGTGCGATAGCAGTCTCAGCAACAGCCAGTACACAACAATATATATATATATATAACAAGTGGTCGACCTCCATAGATTACGTTGGCTGGGACACGTGTTACGCATGTCACCAGGTAGGTTACCACGGCGAGCGATGTTCGCCGAAGCAGATA